GTAATGTTCTATGTGGGTGCACATTTATGAGATATTTTTAGTGCAAATTTCATATCAACAAAACCCTGTCAACGCACACACTACAAGAGAATTCTGTGACATGCTGGTTTGATGCTCCACTGAATCCCAGACGCTGTTGTCATGTAAATTCCACTATTAAAATGAAAGTGATTTCCATAATTAATAGTATGTGCCAAGAATATAATAATGTATATAATTTGGATGCATACATTAACACAATATAGCAATTCTATTAGAACACAGTAGCCCTTTATACTAAAACAAACTGAAAAGTCATTAGAATTAAGTCGGAATTTACCCTATGTTGTACACTGAAAAGTAAGTTCAAATCATGCATAGATCAATACGGAATATATTTAGCTCTATATGGAGGTAACATATGTGAAGGTTACTTTAAAAATAGAAAGACCTGAATTAACCACAAGAGAGAAACAGGTTTTCACTTTGTTCACTTTAAATCTAATTCCAAGACATCCATGTGGAGGCTTCTTTAAAATTTTTTGGCAATTTTCTTGGTAGACTCACCATCCCACTCAATTGTTTCTTCAAGTCCCAGACACTGAAATGCAAGTTATGCTAGACAGTAGAGGAGTAAATTATATAATTCTGGAAATAAGTACCTAGGAACACTTGGCAAATCCACAATATAGGACTAAGAGTAAAGTAAATTAGCAACTAAAAACAATTTTATGCTATCTTCTTTACTGCTTACTGAGTTTTAGATGGCACATTAAAACATTCATGTGGATTAAGTTAAGGAAAGTGAGAATAGATGGCATTCCAAAACTAAATATGTTTTTCAGCAAATAAAATTTGACTGCTTGGAATAAATAATTTTTTAACCAGTGTTCTCTTTCCTGAAACCCCAAAGTGTTTTTATAGTGCCATTCATCACACAGTGGTGAGCACCCTCAATGATTTTCCTTAGAAACAAAGGGGAAATCAATGTTCTTGGTATAGGAAAAGTAGGCCATTAATTTCTTTGTGACTTCTCCCTGGGACAGAAATATTCTAAGAAGTCTGTGTCTATACAGAATAGAGTATCTCCCCACCAACTGAGCAATCTTTTTATGGAACGCAAATTGTACAATCTACTTTAAGAACAAGACAGAAAAATCATTGCCTGTGCACACACTGCATATACACAGAGACACATTTGAGTAAATTCAGTTGGAGGAGAATAGGTATCCACCAAACAAAGCCATGGGGTTAGACACAAGTTTGGAAAAAACTAGAAACTCTATGTTGCATGAGAGTTATAAGAGAATAATAATTTGAGAACACTCCTCTTAAAAAGAGCTTACTATCAGAAAGGAAAGGTAGGGGATAGGAAATAATCATTCAATAGACACTATTAGGTACACCTATTATCACCAACATAAGATTCAAAATATGAAATGGAGACACAAAAAAATTTAACACACATACACAATTTGACAAACATGAGTAAGGTTAAAAACATTTCAAAAATCAAACTTGTAGAGAAGAGGGTAGCAGAATTATCAACCTAGTGATAAAATTTATTCCTCCATTTAACCGATGTATTCAGATTTAAAAATATAAATAAGCTATCCTGACACTCAATGGAGACACTGCACTGACTTCTGTGAGGTAACAAAGCTAATGACATAATAGATAAGCATTGACCAATTGTCATGTGCTAAGAGTTCTGCTAAAACATTACATGAATTACATGATTTAATACAAGAACCATAGGATGTAGGTACTATGATCCCATTTCAGAAACAAGGAAATGTAAGCCCAGAAAGAAATTTTTCCCCGTTTCAGGTAGTTAAGAATGTAAGAGCTATAATTCAAACCTTACTTTCTTATTCCTAAGTCCTATTTTGTTTACTGTTAAGCTATACTGTCTCTAGTTTATGTTTTATGCTTGACTTCATTTCATTCAACAAATATTGTCTGAGCTCCAAATCAAGCAACATGCTTTGATAAAAGAAGGAAACCAAGGACAGGGAGCCTAGAATAGGGTTGCACAGGCTCAGTCTTACTCGATCCCCAGACAGCTTCCTCCAAGGGCAGAGAAATGCCAACTGAAGAAATAAGTAAAAAAGTATTTACAATGAACTAGAACTGAGAATCAGAAAAGTCTATGAAGGTGGTAAGTTTATTAACCAGTTGAGAGATAAACACTAAGTATGAAAATGGGAGGGAAATGTATTTCCTCCCACCTGAATTCAATGATCACCACGACTTCAAAATTAAGCACAGGAATCATCTCACAAATACTCAGCATGGAGGTGAATAGCATTTCTGCTCGTCAGACCTAAAATGTTGATGTTTCTCTCCTCGAACCAACTACTTCCCACCAAGAAAACAAACTCGTAAAAAATGTTCCATAGTCTAGTCAAATTCTGAAATTACCTGGCTAAAGCTGTCAATCATTTGTATGTAAGAGACTCAGCATTTTATACACTTGGTGTTCATTCATCTTAAAGCAACAACATGAAAAATGATAGGCTCAGGGGTTCCAGTTTTAAACACACTAGGGGCAAGCAAAGCCATGTGACTTGGTGATCCTGAAGAATCAGTCAGTAGGGCTGCTCTGGAAAGACACATCTCATGATTCTTTGACTTGGGTGTTCTCCACAGATGGGAGTCTTACAGTCTTAGTGGATGTTTCACCTCACTCAATCAAATATTTGAAATGTGAGTTTTGAAAGTCTTTCTCTAATTTGTGCTAGAGTACTTTATGGAAATAAAAAAGTGAATGATTATCACAGATCTGTCCCTCCATCTGGTGGAGGCTATTTCTTTTGATTATTAATAATACATAGCAGATAAATTATTAGTAATATTTTGTATTTTGCTTAACACCATGTGTTAGTGAATGTAACATAATGGAAACTGCTTTCACAAAATATGTCAAAATGCATGCCAATTTAGAGATGGCACTATAAGGTCAGAAACAGTTGGAATTTGTATCTGCCTCAAGGAGAAAAACAGATCTGGAGAATATAATTATCTGTTTCTATTTTGAAGCATCTTATTTTTCCTAAAATAGTAAAGACCCTCTAAATGCTGATAAGATAATTCCAATGATTTCTGTCAAATCCAGATATATTAGTGACCAGGCAATACCTTACTTCAGAATTACCAAGGAGCCAAGACATGGACTTATATTCCTAACACATCACTCCATAGACTTTGCTCAAAGTCTACCTTTGGGAAAAAATGTTTTGAAGAATGGCAAAAGGCCCACTTCCTCCCTCTTCCCCAACACAAGAAAAAAAAAAAAAACTACTTAAATTATCTGAATTTTATCCTAAAGTTTTCCGTCTAAGTAGTACAAAAGACCACATATGTCTAGATTACATAGCACACTAACTTTCAACACACTGGATTTATAGGTTAATTTTTTCAGAAAAGCTGACTTCATGCAATTTGATGGGGAGTGGCAGAGTAAACAGTTATAATTTTTGCCTTTTTCACAATCTTGTCTGCTCAAAGCCTTTCCTTGGCTACAATGTCATGAACATGCAAAATGCAATAATTTGAGAGGAAATAGAACATCTTTATACTTATTGAGCAGATGAAACTCTGGTAAGAGTAAGGCTGATAGGCTAAAGTGTACTGAGCCTCTCCACTTTCTTTCCTTCTAAAATCCTAAATATGTATTCCTTACCATGGGATGTAGTTGAGAAGTCTGGCAGTCTTACCGTGTGCTACTCAGATGGAGAAGTTTGGAAATATGAAGGAGAGAGGAGAGAGACAGTTGAAGGACTAAGTGAAAGCAACTTGTCATTCCCTTTGTTTCCCATCTCTCCATCTGCTGCATAAAACATTATCTGCTCACCTCTGCTATAAATGATGTTCATCAAATAATTGCCAGGAGAAACTGTACCAGAATCACTTCAAAATTTGTTTTATTTACAACTAAGCTTTATTGTTTTCCAATTTGTGTTTTAAACTGGATTTCATTTAATTCAACAAATATTTTCTGAGTTCTAAGAATACTGGGACTAATTCTCTTTAGGTTGTAGTGCAAGAATTTACATATTAAATACAACCTTCCAATTATTCTTAAGCACTCTAAAGTTTAAGAAACATTACCTTCTTCAGCTGCTGTAATAAAATACCAAGGACATTTATTTTTTCAGATTGGAGGCTATGAAGTTCAAGGTTGAAGTGCCAGCAGACTTAGTTTCTGATAAAGCCTGAGTCTTGAGGAGGTAGAGTAGGGGTGCTCAGATCTCTCTATTCTCACAAAGATATTCATCCCATTAGGGAGGAACCACCCTCGTGACCTCAGTCTAATTACCTCCCAAAGGTCCCATCTCCAAATACTATCACATGAGTTTAAAGCTTCAATATATGAACTTGGAGAGAGGGAGTGGACATTAACTCAGCCGGCAGTTGCACACTGAATGATAGCCATACAAAGGACACTCAGGGAATCACTTGCATGAAATAATTCCTCACAGTGAATTCACTCTAATTGGATTAATCAGTTGTCTAAAATTCTGCAACCCTGAGTATAAATTAATGAATTAATTAAGCACAACCAATAAAGCACACTTTCTAAGTTGTGTGAATAGATTCATTTTCTGGATAACTCATTGTTTTCATTGCAAAGGATTTTTTTCTTCTATTGTCTTTAGTAAATTCCATTAAGATCCACAAATACATACAATATATATCTTCTGTATATTCTTAATAGAAAACATTCTTGTTTTTGATCTCTTCTGCTATTTTTTATAATTGCAATGGTACATTATTACAAAGGAAAGTTACTAGTGACTGAATGAAAATTAACAGTGATTTTCATCAGTGAAAACATTTCTATCTCTCAGGAAAGAAATACTTCTAGATTTGGATAACTGCAGGCTTAAAATTCAAATTATCTTTATAGCTATATCCTTGTGAACAAGGGGTGTGGGAAAACATTGTTTTGTCACAATTCTCCCCTCTGCCCTCCGGATCTGCAGAACAGGAGAAAAAAACCTCATTTGGCAACTTACACATTCTCCACTGGGCTTCTCCTTCGTTCAAGTGAATGGTTGCTTGGCTGAAGCTGGCAATCCTCACAAATACTGCCAAAGATAGTTTCCTAAGCAGAGTTCAGAGCCACATGGGAAAAATGCTGCAGAGAGAATGAAGGAGGCTTAGACTAGGCCACCAACTTTCCCTCCTAGGAGGTCTTGCAACTTCTTTGTGTTATTTGTGTTCCATACTTAATAATCAACTTTACAAAGAGAAATGCGCCAAAAAATAGACACTATCCCCCACTCTCCCAAAATTAAAAAAAAAAAAAAAACCTGAATTTTAAAAACTTAGGTTATTTCAGGCACATGCAGGTAAAACTGTTGAAAGTAACATTGTGTCTGGCATTTCCTGCCTTCCTTAACCTCTGTGAAGGTCACAGTGCTTATACCTGATCAAAGCCCCTCCAGCTGACCCTCCCCTTAGATTCCAGGCTCTCTCCATCAGAAGCGCTGAGCCCATCACCACCCCAAAACAGCTCTTGTCTTCTTATTTCCAGATTCTGGGAATGGAACCATCATTTCTCCAGAAAATAAGTCAAAATCTTGGAATTGCCTACACATTTCCCTTCTGTTTGGTCCTCTTTTGATTCCTCCCTCATAACTCATGTCATGCCATATCTTCTTGCCCCTCCCACTATTCTTAAGCCCTTAGCCTAGGATATCATCATTGTCTTTAATTTTCAACAATTTCCCTCCTCCAGTCTCACCCTCTTCATTTATTATTGACTTATCAGATAAATAATGAGGGCTTACTATGTCTTCAATTACTGTTCCAGAGTTTAATAGTAGTCAGCAACAATTTAGAAGGGTATTTGTTCTCATTCAGTATACACTAAATAGTGAGATTCAGACAATAAAGCAAGCTACAGTGCTGTGAGGTATAATGGTATGGTGTAAAAAAAAAGATGGGGAGAGGAGAGTGGGAAAAGATAATATCCTATAAGATGAATCCTGGGAAATAACTGACTCCTTATTCCATTCCTCTGTATAAAAGGCAATAATTCATCCCTTAAAAAGGAACTTTTAACCTCTTAGCTTGCCCATGAGTATTGTTTACAAATAGGTCCTCAACATATCTTTGCAGACTCTTTCTTAATCCATGCCTCTCCTCTAGCCAGATTTTGTTTGTACATAAAATAGGCATTTGAGCATCTTTCTAGTCACACTTCATTTAGAATGCACTTTCTTCTTCATTCTGCAAACCTGTATTTTGCAGCCAATTTCAAATTCCACCTCATCTAAGCCCATACTAATGATGTTTTCATCTTTCCAACCGAAGCAATTTTTATCCAAAGCATTTATGCAATCCCCATCACATGTGGGCATGAATAGTGAAATATTGTTTTGACCTGAGTCATATGTGTGCAGAACAATAATAATTCGTGGAGTCAGATCACAAATTCATTTTCATTTCTTATTACCCCTTTAAAATGCATTCAGCAAAAGCATACCACACTCTGATGTAATAAAGCAATAAATCTTAATTACAAACAGTCTTTGTTCAAAAATTAGTATGCCTAGACCAACATAGTAATTAAAAGCTTGAACTTTAAAGTTGAAGCTCTGTCCCCAGCAGGAGGCTATTTCCAGTGGAAGTTAAGAAAGAAACTCCCACCCTCCCAAGGCGCTCCCTCACCCTTCCTGTCCCTCACACCGACTCAAGTTCTGACTGACTCTTCCTTGAGGGAGAAGAGTGAATGAAAGGATGTAGGCAGAAGAGTTATAGGAAATAAGAGGCTCTTACCTGAGTGTGAAACCCTCTGAGTCTCCAGTTTTTTTTAAGGCTGACTCTCAATGCAGTTTTTGTGAGCACGCCTATGCATGTGCACGGGTGTATGTGCACATGTGTGTTTGTGCACACATTCTGAGACTTTTTCCCCACTGCTGGGGTCCCTCACCTCAGTTTTCTGCACACATTTTTTTACTGTTTGACCACAACTTCTCAGTATGTGTCTCATAGAAATATACCCCACACAGGTGCTCACAATGGGGTTCTCATTGTCCCTCCACTCTTTTCTCTTGCCCTGGGACTCTCTCAAGGCTTTTGGGACACGAAAATATGCCCACTTTGTTGCCAGAAAAATCCTAGGCATGTGGATCAGACCTAATGCAGCAATATCTCTTAGATGCCAAAGCATCTAAGCACCTGGCCCACCTCCTCCCTCCCTCCCTCTGTAACTCCCGGTTCGGAGGCAGACCTAGCCCATTTCATGATGCTATGAGCTTAGGTGCAGACACATTTCCTGATCCTCCCTCCCTTACAAGCCTACTTTGACATAATGGAATGGAATAAATTCACTTGCTTATGTGTATGTTGTTTCCCACTTAGCTATAAATACCTGGATTCAGTAAAGTGCCCAGTTACTAATATACCAATTGATGTTTGTGGAGTTTATAAGTATAATTATATTGTCTACAATTAAAACAGATTATCACTTTTTATATAATCCAGAAAAAAATTATGGGGCTACCTTTATAAAGATTTACAAAAATCAATGTCTGTGAAGTAACTTAAGATGTGATTATAACACCCATCTGTCTTCTTGCCCAGAATTAGTTCCAAAAGGACAAAGATCTTACCTGTCTTTTTCAGTAGTCTAGAATAATGAATGGAACATATGATGTGTACAACACACATTTAATGAGTGAAGGAACACTCCTTTAAATTTTATATTTACTCACTGGTCATCTCCTTCACTGAAATATTAACAATTTATTTCTCTCCTTCATCTGTTATACTTTAAAAGAAAGAATTGTTACAATCTTAATTTTAATCCATATATAATACCATTTTATGGATATTGTGGCTCTTAAAATAACTCCATACAAAACTTTTTTTACATTGGCAAGAAAAATTACATCAATTAAATTTAATAAGTATTGATTGTCTGCTATTTCAAGATGCTAGACAAGGTACTGAAGAAGATGTAGAGAAGAAAAAGCCACTGAATCCCCCGAAGAAGTTATAATCTTATAGGAGAGATGAAATACAGACATGTGTAAGTGCAGTAGGAAGTTTCAGGAGCTCACTTGTGAGGTCCCTGTGTGGGTAATTAGTACTGATATTTGGTGTAACAGTAAAAGGTATCATGTAAAAAAGTTGCTTCTGTCCTGGACCATAAGAAATGACTAAGGTAACAAAAAGTGAAGAAAACTATTCTGGACCTACGCAAAGGTAAAGAGAGAGTATGTGGAATATATTTGGGGAGCAGTTTATCAGCTAGCTTGGTTCAAGAGTAGAGTGTATGGGAGGCAGCATAGAAAGTAAAGCTCGAAGAGTTGATACAATTGCTAATATTCCTCCTAAAGGCAGAGGGAAACCTCTGAAAGAGGTTAGAGCTAGAGCTAGGGAATCCTTAAGCACAATGTGAAGATAAATATGAGGAAGTAAAGGCTTGGGAGTCAGGGAGATGAGTTAGTACATTATGGCGATGGTTCAGGTGAGAGGTGACGATGGTCTAAACTAGAGCAGTAGCAGTGGGAATAGAGGGCACAGAATGAACCCACAGACACAAAGACAAATAGCACCTGCTAGGTAAGAATTAGCTGCTGGATGAAAAACACCAGCCAAAACAATTATGCTAATCATTTTCCTCCTCTATAGGAGAAAAGCGTATGCTATTTTCAAAGCTCTGATTTAATAAAGGGAACGGGGAAAGTAAAAAAGCCTAACTTTTAGGAATGTGGGTCAAAAGGAAATGTAATAGAGTACCCTCTGACAGGCAGAAATGAAATAAAAAGTTCTTATGTGATTATGATTTATATCAATAATCTGCAGACAGTAGGTTAAGTCACAAGGTCTCTCCACAGGCCTCTGCAAGAGCTACCCAGTAGCCTCACTGCCTCTTGTCTTACCTCTCTACAGCCATCCACCAGGCTAGCACCAGAATTAGCTTCAGAAAATACAAATCTTAACATGTTACTCTCTGCTTAAAATTCCCCAAAAGTTTCTGTTGCTCTTGGGGTAATCAAAAAATGCTTTCTGGCCCACTATGATATGCACATGTCTCCAGGTCTGTATCTCATTCCTTTCAATTCATGCTTCTGCCAGTGAAACTCGACAATTTGCAGGTCTTGTCCTCTCCCCCCAGTCCTTTCCGCGGAGTGGGCAACTTCTCACAACACTGGCTCACTCAACTAGAATTTTTTAGGACTCAATTAGAATTCCATACCACTCTGACCCCCTATAGTAGATTAGTTCTTCCTGCTATGCTGCCCCAAAGCAACCTGCACATCCCTTCATCATGTTTTATTATAACTGCACAATATTGTCTAAGTGCTAACAACAACAAAAAAAGACCATGCTACCTGCTTATCATAGTTGTATCACTATTAGCCATAGGAGGAAGTAGCACATAAAAGATCAATAAATATTTATTGAGTGAATGGAAGAGTGGTGAAGTTACCTAGAACTCATTTTCCCATCTTTCAAATTGGGACTTGAGCTTTAAGATTCCTTTTAGTCATATAGTTTAAGTAAATAAACTTTATAAGTAAAGAAGACATAATTCAGCATCCTAAATCAGAATCAGTATCCTATTATCAACAGTGGCCAGTAGCAGTGAGATATGAGCAAGGATTTAGAAGAAGATAACCTTAAAAAGTGAGAGGCGAGTAATCTTCCCAAGCAAGTCAGCTGCCTAACAGATTTCCTCCTCTTCAGAATTCCCACAAGTGGAAACACATTTCAGACATTTTCATAAAAGATTCATAAATTCCATTTGATAATACTAATTCCCACCTGTGCCAGCAATAACACCTCAAGGTGTTCCATTTCATGCAATCTCTGTCACAATACTTCTCAAAATAAAAGTGGCTCACACATTTTCTATACAGCATTTTTGGTAGAATAAGGATATATTCAATAACAGAATTTTTCATTGACTACTTACTATGTGCCAGGTATTCCTCATCTACTTTATCTATCTTAACTCATTTAATCCTCACAACAGCCCTATGAAGTAGCCCTGCTACTACTGTTATTTCCATTTCCAGGAGGAAATTGAGGCATAAAATACAAGTTTATGTAGTAGGGGTATAATTAGGATTTGGACCTGGCAGGATTTTTTTTATTATATTTGTTGTTTTTATTTTATTA